CACGGACTTGGAATACACACACACGGACTTGGAATACACGCACACGGACTTGGAATACACGCACACGGACTTGGAATACACACACACGGACTTGGAATACACGCACACGGACTTGGAATACACACACACGGACTTGGAATACACACACGGACTTGGAATACACACACACGGACTTGGAATACACACACACGGACTTGGAATACACACACACGGACTTGGAATACACACACACGGACTTGGAATACACACACACGGACTTGGAATACACGCACACGACTTGGAATACACACACACGGACTTGGAATACACACACACGGACTTGGAATACACGCACACGAACTTGGAATACACACACACGGACTTGGAATACACACACACGGACTTGGAATACACACACACGGACTTGGAATACACCACACGACTTGGAATACACACACACGGACTTGGAATACACGCACACGGACTTGGAATACACACACACGGACTTGGAATACACACACACGGACTTGGAATACACACACACGGACTTGGAATACACGCACACGAACTTGGAATACACACACACGGACTTGGAATACACACACACGGACTTGGAATACACACACACGGACTTGGAATACACGCACACGGACTTGGAATACACACACACGGACTTGGAATACACACACACGGACTTGGAATACACCACACGGAACTTGGAATACACACACACGGACTTGGAATACACACACACGGACTTGGAATACACACACACGGACTTGGAATACACAGCACACGGACTTGGAATACACACACACGGACTTGGAATACACACACACGGACTTGGAATACACACACGGACTTGGAATACACACACACGGACTTGGAATACACACACACGGACTTGGAATACACACACACGGACTTGGAATACACACACACGGACTTGGAATACACACACACGGACTTGGAATACACGCACACGGACTTGGAATACACACACACGGACTTGGAATACACACACACGGACTTGGAATACACACACACGGACTTGGAATACACGCACACGGACTTGGAATACACGCACACGGACTTGGAATACACACACACGGACTTGGAATACACACACACGGACTTGGAATACACACACACGGACTTGGAATACACGCACACGGACTTGGAATACACACACACGGATTTGGGAACCCTGGAATACACACACACGGACTTGGAATACACGCACACGAACTTGGAATACACGCACACGGACTTGGAATACACACACACGGACTTGGAATACACACACACGGACTTGGAATACACACACACGGACTTGGAATACACACACACGAACTTGGAATACACGCACACGGACTTGGAATACACACACACGGACTTGGAATACACACACACGGACTTGGAATACACACACACGGACTTGGAATACACGCACAGGGACTTGGAATACACGCACACGGACTTGGAATACACACACACGGACTTGGAATACACACACACGGACTTGGAATACACACACACGGACTTTGGAATACACGCACACGGAACTTGGAATACACGCACACGACTTGGAATACACGCACACGGACTTGGAATACACACACACGGACTTGGAATACACACACACGGACTTGGAATACACACACACGGACTTGGAATACACGCACACGAACTTGGAATACACGCCACACGGACTTGGAATACACACACACGGACTTGGAATACACACACACGGACTTGGAATACACACACACGGACTTGGAATACACACACACGGACTTGGAATACACGCACACGGACTTGGAATACACACACACGGACTTGGAATACACACACACGGACTTGGAATACACACACACGGACTTGGAATACACACACACGGACTTGGAATACACGCACACGAACTTGGAATACACGCACACGGACTTGGAATACACACACACGGACTTGGAATACACACACACGGACTTGGAATACACACACACGGACTTGGAATACACACACACGAACTTGGAATACACGCACACGGACTTGGAATACACGCACACGGACTTGGAATACACGCACACGGACTTGGAATACACACACACGGACTTGGAATACACACACACGGACTTGGAATACACACACACGGACTTGGAATACACGCACACGACTTGGAAGAATACACACACACGGACTTGGAATACACACACACGGACTTGGAATACACACACACGGACTTGGAATACACGCACACGACTTGGAATACACGCACACGGACTTGGAATACAAACCCGAATACACACACACGGACTTGGAATACACGACACAACTTGAACAGACATTGGAATACACACACACGGACTTGGAATACACACACACGGACTTGGAATACACACACACGGACTTGGAATACACACACACGGACTTGGAATACACACACACGGACTTGGAATACACACACAGGGACTTGGAATACCACAAACACCCGGACTTGGAATACACAACACGACTGGAATACACCCACGAACTTGGAATACACGCACACGGACTTGGAATACACACACACGGACTTGGAATACACACCACGGACTTGGAATACACACACACGGACTTGGAATACACGCACACGAACTTGGAATACACGCACACGGACTTGGAATACACACACACGGAACTTGGAATACACACACACGGACTTGGAATACACACACACGGACTTGGAATACACGCACACGAACTTGGAATACACGCACACGGACTTGGAATACCACACACACGGACTTGGAATGCACGCACACGAACTTGGAATACACACACACGGACTTGGAATACACACACACGGACTTGGAATACACGCACACGAACTTGGAATACACGCACACGGACTTGGAATACACACACACGGACTTGGAATGCACGCACACGAACTTGGAATACACGCACACGGACATGGAATACACGCACACGGACTTGGAATACACACACACTAACTTGGAATACACGCACACGAACTTGGAATACACGCACACGGACATGGAATACACGCACACGGACTTGGAATACACACACACGAACTTGGAATACACGCACACGAACTTGGAATACACGCACATGAACTTGGAATACACGCACACGAACTTGGAATACACGAACTTGGGATGTGCACACACACTGGCTCTGAGATACGCACACAGATTCTATACAAGCGCACATAGACACGCTCCGTATATACGCACACAGGCTCGGAGCATACACACACACACACACACACACACACACACACACACACACACACACACACACACACACACACATACACACACACACACACACACACACACACACACACACACACACACACACAACACACACACATACATACACACACGCACACACATTCTCGTTTCACACACGTACAGTTTCGGAGCATACACACACAGACTCGGAGCATACACACACAGGCTTGGAGCATACACACGCAGGATCGGAGCATACACACGCAGGATCGGAACATACACACAGGCTTGGAGCATATACACGCAGGATCGGAGCATACATACACAGGTTTGGAGCATAAACACGCAGGCTCGGAGCATACACACACAGACTTGGAGCATACACACACAGGCTTGGAGCATACACACGCAGGATCGGAGCATACACACGCAGGATCGGAGCATACACACAGGCTTGATGCATATACACGCAGGATCGGAGCATACACACGCAGGATCGGAGCATACACACAGGCTTGGAGCATACACACGCAGGATCGGAGCATACACACACAGGCTCGGAGCATACACACGCAGGATCGGAGCATACACACGCAGGCTCGGAGCATACACACGCAGGCTCGGAGCATACACACAGACTCGGAGCATGCACACAAAGGCTTGGAGCATACACACAGGTTCAGAGCATGCACACACGGGTTCGGAGCATACACACACACACATGCTCGGAGCATGCATACACAAGCTCGGAGCTACACACGGGTTCAGAGCATACATACACAGGCTCGGAACATACACACATAGGCTCGGAACATACACACACAGGCTCGGAGCATACACACACAGGATCGGAGCATACACACACAGGATCGGAGCATACACACAGGATCGGAGCATACACACACAGGCTCGGAGCATACACACACAGGATCGGAGCATACACACACAGGATCGGAGCATACACACACAGGATCGGAGCATACACACACAGGATCGGAGCATACACACACAGGATCGGAGCATACACAATATGACACAATAGCATTGGAAGACAGTATTCGAATCCGTTACTGTACTTGTCCTAAAGAACGTGCACGTGTGTACTACAAGTGTACACATGAGACTGTATACATGAGTGCATGTGTACAGAGATAGTCTCTGTGGGAGACGTGTGTCTGTCAGACGCACGTCTCTCAGATGTTTGTGAGAGACGTCTCTTACGATTCTGTGAGATATGTGTCTGTGAGACACTCGTCTCTCACAGTCTCTTGTGTCTGTGAGAGACTTGTCTGTGAGACACACGTCTCTCATGTGCCTGTGTCTGTGAGATATTCGTCTCTCACAGTGTCTGTGAGAGGCTTGTCTGTGAGACATGTCTCTCATGTGCCTGTGTGACGTTCGTCTCTCACAGTGTCTGTGAGAGACTTGTCTGTGAGACACGTCTCTCATGTGCCTGTGTCTGTGAGACATTCGTCTCTCACAGTGTCTGTGAGAGGCTTGTCTGTGAGACACATCTCTCTCATGTTCTTGTGTCTGTGAGATATTCGTATCTCACAGTGTCTATGAGAAGCTTGTCTGTGAGACACGTCTCTCATGTACCTGTGTCTGTGAGAGACTTGTCTGTGAGACACACGTTTTTCATAGTGTCTGTGAGAGATTTATATATGAGATACATGTGTCTCACAGTCAAATTTCTCATGTCTCTCATGTATCTATGTCTGTGAGAGACGTGTCTGTAACTGCTTCTTAAGAAAATGAAGTTTGATTTCCTGTGGTCGACACTTACTTACCTGGGGAGAGTTGATCTGAAGAAGACGACGAAGGTGAGGTGTAGATAGGTCTCTGCTGGTGGTGGTGCTGCTGGAGGGAGATGGATAGCGCGAGGTGGGGAGGTAGGAGCAGCTCCGGGGAGAAGGGGTCAGCGGTAACGGGCGGCGGGGCGGGCGTGGGGCCGCCACCTCCGCCAGCGGCTGCGGCGGCTGGGCTGCCATTGCTGCTGCTGCCGGAGGTGACGGGGGACCGGTATAACAACGACAGATCTCGCACCTCGTTCTCCTCCTGCGCTTGCTGCCGCCGGAGCGCTACCTGCGCTGCCATCACCCGCTGCCGCTCGGCGATTAGCGTGCACTTTGCGCAAATACAATCGCGCCATCGGCAGTAGCGTTTGTGACCTTTGAGTGCTGATACCACGCCATGGTTGCGGCAGCGGGCGCATTTTGGAGTGCGCTGATACCGCTCCGACGCCCGCAGGAAGAGCGCGGGCGGTAGCGACGACAGCATTTGACGCTGCGCCATCAGGAGGGCATCGCCCACAGGAACGTCCACATTAGATCCGCTCATGGCGGAGGGAGCCGCCCCGTCACCGCTGCCGCCGGCGCCTCTCACACTCCCTGAAGAAGACGTAATTGTGGCTGAACACTTGCAGGAGCTAGAGTGCGCTGCGTCAAGCTCCTCGTCGCAGGCAACGCAGCTGCCCTCTGGAAGTCCCTGAGACTGGCTGCGGCCCTGCCCTGGAGCGCTCTGACTCGCCTCAACGTTACCTCTAATCAGCAACAAGTTTGGCGGAAGCTGAAACGATAATAATCTCCCTTTAGATCCTTTCCCTCAGTACTCAGGCCAGAGAGCCCGCCTTCACCAAGAAGCCGCTTCCCATTGGTCTAGCCTCCTGCCCGCAGAACGAATGATTGGCCGAGAGAGTTGATACAATCAACAGCTCGCGCTCTCATTGGCTGCTTTTGGCGGGCTGCCCAAGAAGTAACTCGGTGAAGGCGCGAAACTCCAAACTGTTGCCAGAATGAAGAATTTTTGTAATAAGGAGTCAGGAAAAGACCTGAAGAATCAGGCAAGGATGACCCAGGATCACTCTAGATGGTGAAGATGAAGGAGGAAAGCAGGAGGCGGGAGGAAGGAGGGGAGTGAGTAGGTGGAGTCACAAACACAGAACCACAAGAATGTCAATATTGTCGGAGGGACAGACTAGCCCATGTGCAACTTGGAACCATCCACTTCAAATGTTACTGTTACAAGAATGGCCGCCCTCCACACATGACGCCATGTTCCTCCACTCTAACACATGCTCAACTGACCGTCTTCTAAAAAGTGTGTATCTCAACACTTTCTTCAACAGAGGAACGGTGAACCTTAGGCCCATAACAGTAAAACATTTCTGCCACTAAATTACATTAAACGTTAAAAATAACGGCTTAAAACAGACATAAAACGATGATTTTATAAATCGAATAAAATATAAATACAATGATCTGTGATAATGCAAAAAAAATTTATGTGGTTCAGTAAGATGTGGATTTATTTAATAATAAATAGACACCGTGACGTTTAGACCTGAATTTGCAAGGCCGTACCAGACATGGTGGTGAAGACCACACCAGACCTGCTGGTGAAGACCACACCAGACCTGGTGGTGAAGACCACACCAGACCTGCTGGTGAAGACCACACCAGACATGGTGGTGAAGACCACACCAGACCTGCTGGTGAAGACCACACCAGACCTGGTGGTGAAGACCACATAAGACCTGGTGGTGAAGACCACACCAGACCTGGTGGTGAAGACCACACCAGACCTGGTGGTGAAGACCACACCAGACCTGGTGGTGAAGACCACACCAGACCTGCTGGTGAAGATCACACCAGACCTGCTGGTGAAGACCACACCAGACCTGCTGGTGAAGACCACACCAGACCTGCTGGTGAAGACCACACCAGACCTGGTGGTGAAGCCACACCGACCTGCTGGTGAAGACCACACCAGACCTGCTGGTGAAGACCACACCAGACCGCTGGTGAAGACCACACCAGACCTGCTGGTGAAGACCACACCAGACCTGCTGGTGAATGACCACACCAGACCTGCTGGTGAAGACCACACCAGACCTGCTGGTGAAGACCACACCAGACCTGGTGGTGAAGACCACACCAGACCTGGTGGTGAAGACCACACCAGACCTGGTGGTGAAGACCACACCAGACCTGGTGGTGAAGACCACACCAGACCTGGTGTTCAAGACCACACCAGACCTGCTGGTGAAGACCACACCAGACCTGCTGGTGAAGACCACACCAGACCTGCTGGTGAAGACCACACCAGACCTGCTGGTGAAGACCACACCAGACCTGGTGGTGAAGACCACACCAGACCTGGTGGTGAAGACCACACCAGACCTGGTGGTGAAGACCACACCAGACCTGGTGGTGAAGACCACACCAGACCTGCTGGTGAAGACCACACCAGACCTGCTGGTGAAGACCACACCAGACCTGCTGGTGAAGACCACACCAGACCTGGTGGTGAAGACCACACCAGACCTGCTGGTGAAGACCACACCAGACCTGGTGGTGAAGACCACACCAGACCTGCTGGTGAAGACCACACCAGACCTGGTGGTGAAGACCACACCAGACCTGGTGGTGAAGACCACACCAGACCTGCTGGTGAAGACCACACCAGACCTGCTGGTGAAGACCACACCAGACCTGCTGGTGAAGACCCACACCAGACCTGGTGGTGAAGACCACACCAGACCTGCTGGTGAAGACCACACCAGACCTGGTGGTGAAGACCACACCAGACCTGTTGGTGAAGACCACACCAGACCTGGTGGTGACCACACCAGACCTGCTGGTGAAGACCACACCAGACCTGGTGGTGAAGACCACACCAGACCTGCTGGTGAAGACCACACCAGACCTGGTGGTGAAGACCACACCAGACATGCCTTGTGTATCCCTCACCACTAGCTGTTCTTGTGTATCCCACACCACAAGGTGTCTTTGTGTATCCCTCACCATTAGCTGTCCTTGTGTATCCCTCATCACTTGCTGTCTTTGTGTATCTCTCACCGCTAGATGTCTTTGTGTATCTCTCACCACTAGCTGTCCTTGTGTATCCCTCACCACTAGCTAGCTTTGTGTATCCCTCAACATTAGCTAGCCCTAATTATCCCTCACTACTACGTATCCTCGTATATCCCCCACTGCTAGGTAGCCTCGTGTATCCCCACTACTAGGTAGCATCGTGTATCCCTCGCTACTAGGTAGCCTCGTGTATCCCTCACTACTAGATAGCCTCGAGTATCCCTTACTACCATGTAGCCTCTTGTATCCTTCCCTGCTAGCCTTGTGTATCCCTCCTTGCTAACCTCATGCATATTTCCCAGCTAGCCTCATGCATCCCTCGTTGCTAGCCTCATGTATTCCTCGTTGCTAGCCTCGTGTATCCCTCGTTGCTAGCCTCATGTATCCTCCCCGCAAGCCTCATGTATCCCTCCCTGCTAGCCTCGTGTATTCTTCTCTGTTAGTCTCATGTATCCCTCCTTGCTAGCCTCGTGTATCCCTAATCACCTAGCATTGTGTATTCCTTACTACCTGCTAGCTTAGTGTATCCCTCACCCCATGCTACATGCTACTTTCGTGTATCCCTCACCACCTGTTAGCCTCGTATATCCCTCACCACCTGCTAGCCTGGTGTATCCCTCCATTCTAGCCTGGTGTATCATTCATCACATGCTAGCCTGGTGTATCCCTCCATGCTAACCTGGCGTATTTCTCCATGCTAGCCTTGTGTATCCCTCACCACCTGCTAGCCTTGTGTATCCCTCACCACCTGCTAGCCTGGTGTACCCCCCATGCTAGCCTGGTGTATCATTCACCACCTGCTAGTCTTGTGTATCCCTCCATGCTAGCCTGGTGCATCCCTCCATTCTAGCCTGGTGTATCCCTCCATGCTAGCTTGGTGTATCCCTCCATTCTAGCCTGGGGTATCCCTCCGTGCTAGCCTGGGTTATCCCTCCGTTCTAGCCTGGGTTATCCCTCCGTGCTAGCCTGGGGTATCCCTCCGTGCTAGCCTGGGTTATCCCTCCGTGCTAGCCTGGGTTATCCCTCCGTGCTACTCTGGGGTATCCCTCCGTGCTAGCCTGGTGTATCCCTCCATTCTAGCCTGGTGTATCCCTCCATGCTAGCTTGGTGTATCCCTCCATCCTAGCCTGGGGTATCCCTCCATGCTAGCTTGGTGTATCCCTCCATCCTAGCCTGGGGTATCCCTCCGTGCTAGCCTGGGTATCCCTCCATTCTAGCCTGGTGTATCCCTCCATGCTAGCTTGGTGTATCCCTCCATCCTAGCCGCCTGGAGTATTCCTCCATGCTAGCTTGGTGTATCCCTCCATGCTAGCCTGGGGTATCCCTCCGTGCTAGCCTGGTGTATCCCTCCGTGCTAGCCTGGTGTATCCTTCCATCCTAGCTTGGGGTATCCCTCCGTGCTAGCCTGGTGTATCCCTCCATGCTAGCTTGGTGTATCCCTCCATCCTAGCTTGGGGTATCCCTCCATGCCAACCTGGTGTATCCCTCCATCCTAGCTTGGGGTACCCCTCCATTCTAACCTGGTGTATCCCTCCATGCTAGCTTGGTGTATCCCTCCATCCTAGCCTGGGGTATCCCTCCATTCTAGCCTGGTGTATCCCTCCATGCTAGCTTGGTGTATCCCTCCATCCTAGCCTGGGGTATCCCTCCGTGCTAGCCTGGGGTATCCCTCCGTGCTAGCTTGGTGTATCCCTCCATCCTAGCCTGGGGTATCTCTCCGTGCTAGCCTGGGGTATCCCTCCGTGCTAGCCTGGGTATCCCTCCGTGCTAGCTTGGTGTATCCCTCCATCCTAGCCTGGGGTATCCCTCCGTGCTAGCCTGGGTATCCCTCCCTGCTAGCCTCACATAAGAGCCTGCTCACCCCTATCCTTCCCTCTGGTTAATCCCTCATTTATCTGCTGCTTTTCATCAATTATCTATCCTCTCCCCTCATTCCATTCACCAGTCAACTCTCCCTCCCTTCCTCCCTCTCTCCCTCCCTCCCTCCCTTCCTCCCTCTCTCTCTCCCTACTTCAGTTTTACCCTCCCTTCCACCCGTAATCCATTACTCTCTCTCTCTCTCTCTCTCTCTCTCTCTCTCTCTCTCTCTCTCTCTCTCTCTCTCTCTCTTCTCTCTACTACCTACATACCTCCCTCCCTACCTATCTACCTACTTACCTCCCTACTTACCTACCTCCATCAGAAAGGGAGGAGACCAATTGTCATAAGGACTTTCAGAACTGTCACGTGCACACTACTGTATCATGTGCACACTACTGTATCACGTGCACACTACTGTATCATGTGCACACTACTGTACCATGTACACACTACTGTGTCATGTGCACACTACTGTATTATGTGCACACTACTGTGTCATGTGCACACTACTGTGTCACGTGCACACTGCTGTATCACGTGCACACTACTGTATCATGTGCACACTACTGTACCATGTGCACACTACTGTGTCATGTGCACACTACTGTATCATGTGCACACTACTGTGTCATGTGCACACTACTGTGTCACGTGCACTGCTGTATCACGTGCACACTACTGTATCATGTGCACACTACTGTACCATGTGCACACTACTGTGTCATGTGCATACTACTGTGTCATGTGCACACTACTGTATCATGTGCACACTACTATGTCATGTGCACACTACTGTGTCATGTACACACTACTGTATCAT